ACATTATTAGGAAAGCATTGATGGGAAACTTTGATGACAAGAGTGAGGAGCATGGAGTTGTAATGTCACAATCTATTGCGGTAGCACCTGGCAGTTCCAGTGCTGCAGTATCAGCAAGTAATGAGACCCGTAGGGAAGAAGCTAATCCATCACCGAATTCAGGTGAGGTATTGCAACTGCTAAATATTTCATGGTCTTAAAGAAAAAATAAATAAACTAAGGGTTTGAATAAACTTGGTATCACTGAAAATCACTGTCTGTCTTCTGGAAGTGATAGAGATGGTGTTTCCCTCTACTGGTCCTGGCTTTCAAAGTGGTGCTGGTGCCTTCAGGAGCATTAGCCAGTATTTCTTGGAGAATGACAACACTGATGAAACAGGGAAGAGATAACAGGGTGTATTAGATACCTGAACCTTCTCAGTGGTTTGATGAAAATGCATGTGTAGTACATCACCTATAAAACATACGTAACAGTGGGAGCTAGCTTGAACTGAAAGCATCTCCCTTCCTAAAAATGGAAATATAGCTCTGTTGTGATAACAGTATGGATTTTCTAGCAATACTGTGTTAGAAGATTAGCCTATACAGTCACTAATTGTAGTAAATCAGCATTCCAGAAGACAGCAGTGTGAAAGTCCTGTTTGCTGCTATGTGATAATTTATAGAAACAAACGTACAGAGGCTAAAATTCGGTGTGATGTTTTTGTGAAATCTGTCCCTTCTATTTCCAGGAGGGGGAGTCAGCAAGCAGAAGCTAATCGGCAAGTCGAATAGTAGGAAGTCTAAGTCTCCGATTCCTGGACAGGGGTATTTGGGAACCGAAAGACCTTCTTCTGTCTCATCTGTACATTCAGAAGGGGACTACCACAGACAGACTCCAGTGTGGGCCTGGGAAGATAGGCCTTCATCAACAGGTGAGAAATGGGTTTCTTTCAAACTTGACAAACCAGATGTGGATTTGTAGAAAGGTCAGATGTAGACATACTGTAACACTGGTATATTGGTCAAAAGTTTACAGCATATGAGGATTTTGTGAAACAGATTTTTTGCTAGTTGTCACAACCAAAACCAGACAATCTTTCAGATACAGATCTCTTAGAACAGCTTGTGTTTTTGACTTGGAGAAACTCTTTTTGATTCAGGTTCAACACAGTTTCCTTACAACCCGTTGACGATGAGGATGCTCAGCAGTACACCGCCAACATCCATTGCGTGTGCCCCACCGTCCATAAGCCAAGCAACCACTCACCAACAGAACAGGATATGGGAACGAGAGCCTGCACCACTGCTTTCAGCACAATATGAGACTCTGTCTGACAGTGATGACTGAACTATGCAGATTTTTTTTTTTATTTGCGAGTCAAAAAAAGAAATCTATTTTTGACTTGTGCCCATAGAGACTTTCCAAGAGAGCAAGGGCCACACAATGAAGAATTGATGGAGAGTCCGTTAAAAGCCTTCTGCACAGGCCGTGTGTTGGAGGATTGTGATCAAGAAGGTTGACTTACTAAAGATAAATATGTAAAGAGTTTTTAAAAATGTGGACTATTCCTGTTCTACATCTATTTGTAAAGAAAACCATAATGTCTTTAAATCATTCTTCTGTAAATAGAGAGTACTTTTTGCAGTGTTTTTTCCCTTGCTATAGTATCTGGTGTACTTATGTTCAAATCATTGCCTAAAATTTGGGGGTCATTTTGTAATTTTTTTTAAGCATTTTCTCCAGTGTAGAGTACTCTTCATAACCCTAGCCTCCCTACCAGCCTAGCCTAACCATAACCCTAGCCTCCCAAACAGCCTAGCATCATTGCCCATTTAATGCCATGCCACTTCTTGCAGGCATTGTGCTTTTCTATAATTTTTTTTCCTAGACACACTTTCTCAGTGGTGTTCAAGCTCTTGTGAAAATGTTGATTTTTAAGACTGACCCCTTAATGAATTCTGTACATTAACATAGTCCAGTTCGCTGGAATAAGAAGGTATATTTCTTTGAATTTTAAATTCTGCCACATTGTAAATTTTTGGTGCGGTTGGTTTTACTTAGCAACACTGCAGAAATATTATTGCATGGGTATGTTATGGTTCATTTTTAAAAGGATAAAAAAAAAAACAAAAAGAACAGCTTCTGGAGGCATACCTCACTGTTATGCACACTGGGAATTTTAACTGCGCCCCGAAAGCCTATCTTAGTGTTTTCTGTTTCTGCATTGTATGCAGTCAAAACAGGCTCCTAAATTTTACTGTTATATTTAACCACAGCAAATGGCTTATCTGAACAGAGGCTCTGGGTGGGTTGATAAATCCTTTAAGAAGAAAAACCTCTACATCCCAAGTTTAAATAAAACAAAATGCTTTTATAGAATAATGGAGCAACACACGAGTCAACTACTTGGCTTCTGTTACAACCAGTTTGAAGTAGGTACTGTGATTTTTACCTTCCTCCAGTCTGATTTTAAAATCTTTATGTAATAATTATTTTAAAGTCTGTGTCCCCATCCCAATCCCTAGCCCTATAAGCAAGCTTTTGGTGGAAGTCCTTACGAATGCTTGGCTTAACTCCTAAAGTGTGCAATACTTGTTAGGGTGATTTTGATTTTTAAATTGTTTATGGTACTAGGAGAGTCTCCTTAATCATTCATCTATCAATGCCTGCTATGATATGCTTGTAGCTCACGTACATACATCTGAGTAGTGATATCACAGGGTGTCCTGACATCCATCTTCAAAAGCATCATTTTTTTTGCTGCACTGACCTCAGGAAGTGAATTTAAATTTTCTGGGGTAGAAGGACTGATTTACAGATAGCACTGAGTTGGGGAGTGGTATGGTCTGTCAGATTCCAAACTGCTTTTGCATCTCATTGATTATAGAGTCTTTGCCTTGAAGTTATTTTCCAGTCAAAATATTTTTAATTTAACACTGTATTTACAATAAGTATAATGCAGCTGTGTAACCTTAAGCCGTGTAAGCTCCACATCTTATGGAAGGACTGTAACGGTCCGGTTACAAACAGGAAGAAGTACAGAACTCTTTATCAACAGCAAATTTACTTTGAGTACTTCAGAGGAAAGCCTTTTTGCCCTAAGTGTGGGAAAGAAAAAAATCCAAAGGAACTCATTTGGAAACTTGACACTGTGTTGCAAATACAGAATTATTTTGCTACTTTTTTTAAACGCTGCATCAGAGTAGATCAGTTGCCAGTCTTAAATATCCTTGCAGTCTTTCTCTGAGAAAGGGTTTTTCTCACCCTTCCATCCTTTACCCTTCTGGCTTTGAAGTAGTGAAGTTTTCATCCTGTTTGTAGACCTGTGCTCTTATTTTAACTTTTTTGTTCCCACAGCAACATATACTGGAAAACATGTTGATCTGCCCTTTTTGTAGATTTAAATTTGGAGTGGAAAGTTCCATTCTAAAACTCACTTGTTCTCACTTTCTTAGTGTAACAAATACAACGTGAAAGAGGCATGTACAGACAAATGTCTTTGCTAACTGTACAGTAAGTATAGCATGTTCATTGCAAAGCTTCATGTTATTGCTGCTGCAGCAGCAAGATATCCAAAGTAGGATAGTCACTTTCTCCTAAGATACAGCTTGAGTGGCATTTGCACATAAAATGTTGCTGCTTTTTTGTTTGTTATCAGAGTTCCAACTTCTCCAGCATAAAAACCTCTCCAGAGCCTAAGTTAGGGTTTACCACAATTCCAGTAATTTTCAAGTATGGAATTACATCTGACCTGTTTCAAACAGGAGGGTGTTTGTAAATCATGTTTACAAAGTGTAGTTTACTACAAATTTTTAACTGATTTCTGATCAGCGCTTTCACAATGCTTTCCATCTTGATATGTTGCGTGATTCTGATATGAAATCATTTAAGACTTGAAAAACCCATGCATCATAAAACAACTTTTTTTTCCACACAATGTCTTCAGTAGACAGTGACTTCTGGATTCAGACCAATCAATAAAGGGGATCAGTTCTCCATTTGCTTTTCCTGTGTCTCCCTCTTGTTTCGCAGCATCAAGCTATGTTCATGAGAACAGGCAAAACACTTCCCTTAGGGGGTGCTGCAGGGTTCCCAGTTAACACTGCTGGAGTATTGAAGGTCTGCCACTTAAAAACCAAAACCCAGAACTTTAAAGATCAGCTCTAATGTGTTAGAGCCTTCCTGTTAGTACAAGTGTGCCTGTAGCAAACAGCCATATTTTTACTTCTTAGCTTGCTGTATATGTGAATTAAGTTTTTCTAGCTTTACTGCTCATCTACTCTAGAAAACCTGCATGCCTCTTCTTAGCTCAAAGTTAAGCAGAATGCAATTAACATTAAGGGTTGTACCAACCAGCTGAAGCTCTTACAAATGAGAGGTTAAAATAATGCTTGGTTAGTGACAGGATTACAGTTAGTTCTACTATCCTAGCTAAATATGATAACTTCAGAAGCCTCAGCATTCTAGCACTGACCTATCCAAGAAAGGATGACAGCTTTGACACTGTGTGCTCTTGACTGGGGTAAGGTAGCTGAGTGTTTTACTACTGATGACAACAGCTCTGTTTTAGTCTCACCCCTCCTCTGAGAGGGCATTTTCAATCTTTGGATGCTAAACACTTTGAAGAAAAACACTTGCTTTTCAGGCAATGTGTTTGAAAAAGACATGGAGCTACAGCTCTGTCATAGTCCAGGTGCAGCCTGGGAAATGCTCTGTTGAAGTTAACACATACTGAACTGTAGCACTGACAAAAGTACACCCTGTTGTGCTAGCCAGCATGTAAAGAGTGAGGCAATGCCTGCCTGTTCTTCTTTTCATGACTTAGCTTTTGTATAGCCATGTTTTGAAACAGAATACTTCTGTGAACAGTCAGGAGTAGCAAATGACTACTCCTTCACTGAACTGCAAGTATTAATACCAGGCTAGACTTGCCCTTTGCTGGCAGTCAAGACAAAGTTAAATCACTAGCACAGTAGGTCACTCTAACCATAGACTACACCACAAAAATTTACATAGGTTAAGATTTCACAACTTTATTTTGGGCCAAGTTGCTAGGCAGTAGCAGCCCTTCTTGTTAAGCAGTCCTTAAACTCCTCATTGCTGTTCCCCTGGAGAATTGCACCAAACTGGTCCCAGGCTGCTTCTAGTGACCAACCCTTGCTGCTGTCAGCGACCTCAAGGTTGGACTCTGTGGCCAAACTTATTTGGAGCCCTTTCTCCTCTTGGCCAGCTCAGCTAGTTCTTCCTGGATATGCTGGACAGAAGCAACATCTCCCTTCTGTTGTGCCTGCTTGAGAGCTTCTTTGTACACTTGTTTTGCTTGCAGAAAGTCTTCTGTAGTAAGAGGGAAAAGTAGCAGAGCTAGCCAATTACAGTGCCCATTTTCGGAGTCCCCTCCTGAAGCTGACCACATGCAAAGGACAAGCATACTTGGAACACATCAAGAATTAGGGAGGTTCAGAAAACATCCAGCAGAGGGTGCCAACTATAAGAGCTAGACAGCAGCAATGATGATGGGACAAGGTGCTGCTTCAGCATTAAGATCTCATAGAAACAAGTCTCAAGCATGTCTTCTGTCCTTTTGGAACCAGTTACTGTATATACAGGACAAGGGAAACAAGATCCCCTGGCAACCTTTTGAGTCAGATGCACCAGTACTGCATTTATCTTGGACCAGATCCTTCAGCAGCTGAATTCAATTTGGGTGCAACACAGGTTGCCTCCACAAAGTCAGCAGACCTACTGCTTAGACTAAAAATAGTAACACAAAAATAACACTGTAGTTCAGTCCTACAATACAGGTATCCACAGTCAGCACAAGCACAGTGACATAGGCTGGATGTTTATTTACCTACCTTTGTGCATCAGAATTGCTGCCAGGTTATTCAGCACCATGTGCTCCTCAGGGTGCTGAGTCTCCTTTGCCAGCTCAGCTGCCCTCTTCACATAGGAATATGCCTCATCGTAGTGCCCCTGAGCATCCAGTACAGTTGCTAAGTCATTTATCAGGATGACAGTCTGTACCAGGACAGAAAAGGAAGCCTCAGAGCAACAGTCGGTATAGAAGTCTGGGGCAGCAGGAGCACCACATTCATTCCCCTGACACACTAGTAAAAGTAGTATTTGCCAGAGAAGTTTTCAGTAAGAAAGCATCTTATATTTATATATCGGCATGCTGCATGCTCATTGTTCCTGGCAGGAAAACAGAACATAATTCAGTGCTGTGTACATTTGATGGCAGCAAAGCTGCTTTTAAAGCTGCCTCATTCCCTAGATTAGCCTTTCTTTCCCTAGTAGCCCAACTACGATTGTACAAGTCACCTGTGGATGAGTCTCTCCCTGAACATCATTTGATATCTGCAGAGCCTTCTCATACATTTTTTGGGCCACTGGGAGCTGGTTAATGCTTAGGAGATAGCGAGCATAGGAGTCTAGACTCATCCCAAGCAAGAGACGGGTGTTGGCCTTTTCTTCAGCTGCAAATAAAGAGGAGTGGAAGTGATCACTTCTGCAAGATCAAGCATGAGTCTCCATCCTACAAGAGCAGGAAACTCATGCAGTGTGAAGACAATGGATTGGCATGAAGATGGTGCTTAGGCAATATGGTAAGCAGCATCAAGGAGAGGGAAATGGAGAAAAGATAATGAGAGAAGCCTTTGGCAGACAAGGCAGTCCCACCTGGTAAGACATCCTCAGGCAAGTCCTTTTGCTTGGCAATCTTCTCCTCTAAGGTCAGGATGCAGAACTCATAGCCAGCCAGGGCTAATTTGTGCCTGCAAAGTGCAACAACTCAGCAAAGCAAGGTTCCTTCCATCCCTGAAGGGACAGATGTGAACACTTTCAATCCCTCATTCTAAAGGGCCTGTAAGACAGCTTTTCCCCTCAACCAGACCCTTCTTGCCCATAATGCTTTCTTCTTGATCTTGGCCTGGACCCCTCTCTTGACCCATGGGCAAAGGGGTCCAAGAGGTGGAGAGGCCCCCCTCCCCCCAAACAAGGCCAGCAACCCATGCCAATGCTCCACTGAAAAAATGAAGCTACAACCAGCCACCAACTGCTTCAAAAGCCGCCTTTCCTGTGAGATGTGGATTTAAGACTAAAGAGCAATGTCCTCTATGGCTACTTCTGCCCTAAGCTGGGCAGCTCCTACAGCAGTCACTGGGCTGCATGACAGTGGGTACACAAATATCACGCCTGTGGGAACCTTTATGTTGATGTTATCTTCTCACATCAAAGCTTCCTCAGGCACTCTATTCTTAGAGAAAAGAGCCTCTGCTTCGCCACCACTGCCACTGTGAAGCTGAGATGAAAGCAAAAGATGCCTTTAGCAGGGAACTCACTGTTTCTGAGCAGCATAGATACTGGCCAGCTTGAGGGACATCTCAAGGATTGCATTGTCATCCTGCCAGGAGGACACACAATGCAACTGTTACTCTTCTTGCATCTCCCCAGTCGAAACGTTACTTTGTCAGCAAACAAGTTTAGACCTTAAAAAATCCCCATCCTATTGTTTCCAGAGCTGCTACCCATTGAAGGATGTTCCTGAGAAGCCAGCAAGCTCACAGCTAGTATTGCCGATTTCCAGCAGGAGGTATTACAGCACAAGAAATAGACCAGAGAGTTGTGCACCACACTGTTAATACTTACAGGTGAAAGCCTTTATCAGAAGAACGTACCTCCTTTGCATCCCCTGCAAGCAAATAGCTCATACTTGCTTTGTAGAGCTTTTCTGCCTGAAATGAGAATTTTGAAGAGAATATTGAGGAATGATGGCAGTCAAAACAAAAGATCTCTACCCTTTATGGAGGCAGACTACTGGGAGAAACCTGTCTCACAATTTGTGGCATTTACATTGTATGTCAAGACCAGTCAGAAGTGAAAGGCTAACCAGAGCCCAATGGTACAGCCAACTAGTGGGTCCTTTCAGTTTCTACTTTAGGACTGCTACACCAGCCATGAGTTTACCACATCTGTGTGCCTTCAGGGCTTTCCTGGATTCTCCTTGCGACAGGCACATCTAAATGCTTGACTGTGGCATTTGACAGCAAGAAGTATTCCTTCCCTTGCGCACCATGTTGGAGCTCAAAATTTAACTGTGAAAGTATCTTTATTAGCAGCATATGCTCCATGGGACTGCAGTCCCAAGGCAGATTATTCTGCTTTATTCTGGGAGATCTCTGCCTCAAGTCTCAGCATGCAGCTTGTCACAGCACGCCACACCTCCAAGATCTTGCACAAGATGTCAGCCTTTTAAAATTCAGAGGGAAAAAAAACCAAACCAGAGTTACTCACATTGTCCAGGTGTCCCTGCATGAAGGCCACGTTTGCCATCTGGAAGAGAGAGGCAGTGCTGAAGCTTCACAAAGGCTGCAGGGACTAGCCTCAACGCAACCGCTTTTTCTTCTACTTACGCCTCCACTATAGCCCCAGTATACGGCACTACACCCCCCAAAGGGACCTGCAGCCCCATAGTGACTTGTAGCACAGACTAGACATGATATGAGGGGAGACCTTATCACTCTCTACAACAACCTGAAGGGAGGTTGTAGTGAGGTGGGTATTGGTCTCTTCTATTGAGTAACTAGTGATAGGACGAGAGGAAATGGCCTCAATTTGCGCTAGGGGAGGTTTAGATTGGATATTAGAAAAAATTTCTTTACTGAAAGGGTTGTCAAGCATTGGAACAGGCTGCCCAGGGAAGCGGTGGAGTCACCATCCCTGGAGGGGTTCAAAAAACGCGCAGACGGGGCACTTCAGGACACGGTTTGGTGGGCGTGGTGGTGTTGGGTTGACGGCTGGACTCGATGCTCTTAAAGGTCTTTTCCAACCTAAACGATTCTATGATGCTATGACAGGGGACAGCCCCTGCCAGCTCCCCCCCGAGCCTTACCATGCTGTAGGTGTAGACGATGGCTTTCCTGTTATCCGACTGGTGCGACAGCCGCAGGGCTTGGTGCAGCACCCGCTCGGCCTCCCCCAGCTCACCCTTCATGACGCTGAGCTGCAGAGAGAGTGGGGAAAACCCGAGGGGCAGGTCACCCGCCGGAGCCCACGCGTGACGGCCCCCCGCTGAGGTAAATCACCCCCCCAAGGCCGCCACGTCCGCGTCCCTGCAAGGGGCCGGCGCCTCACCTTGGCTCTCTTCAGCAGGAGGATGATGGCGTCCTCGCCCTCCTCCTCGGCGTCCCTGGGGAAGAGCGAGAAGGCTGCGGGGCGAGGGTGACCGCCCTGCCCCTCACCGCCCCGGCCCGCAGCCCACGACCCGCCTCACCTCCCAGGAAGCCCAGGGCACCCCCGACCGGCCGGGCCCACCGCCGACGGGCGAGCCCCGTCCTGCCGCCGCCGCCCTCCTCCCCTCGGGCCCCGCCACGCCAGACGGTTCGGGACGGCGGGAGCCCCGCGGGGCAGCGCCGGGCGGCCAGGCGGCACAGGGCCCGCGGCACCCCCGCCGCCAGCATCTTTCTCCCCGCGGGCCCTTTAAGAACTCGCCCTCGCCACGTGATGCGGGCCTGTGCGTCACCCGGGGCAAAGGGCGCCTTGTTGCTATGGAGACGCGCCCTCATGGCGGCCACAGGTAGGCCCGATCCCGGCCCCGGGGTCGCCGTCCCAGGACCGGCGGCTCTAAATAGCTCCGACGGGGCTGCACCGTGTCGAGGGAGTCCCCGGGGACCGTAGCGGCGAGCAGCCGATGTCG